CTCTGGCTTTCACAGGGTTTCGTCGCTGACTGTCAACAGAGACTACTTTCCTATACCAATTCTACTGATCGCGTGATCCTTGCAATCGCCATGGTTTGCGCGATCGGATCTGGAGTGGTATGTGCATATAGACTACATCGGAGATGATAGACCTAACGCTTTGTTTAGCCGCTTCCCCTAATGAATATTGTGTTCGGCAGCCTTGTCGGCGAATTCAATGGATACTTTTCCGCAGGAACATCGGTGACAGAGGCGGACTTCAAAGCGTCCGTGAGCAGACTGAGGTAAGAACCTATGCATTCCTAGATATCACGGGCTAACTTGATGATAGCTTATACATTGTCTACCTATTTATCGGAAAATTTACTTTGACATATTTCTCCATGGTAAGCCTGCGTGTGTGACGAACCGGAGTAATTGCTGACCTGCTAGTACTGTTTCCGCGTCATTGGTCTTCGAGTTTCAGCCACACTGCGACACGATTACATGCAGACGCTCTTCGCCCAGCCGATCAGTAAACTCGATCAGGTATCAGTGGGTGCCGTAACCAACACGATCACCACCCTGTCCAACTCCATCCAGCAGAGCATATCGGATAAACTCGCCATTCTCTTTCAATCCGTTGCCCTGCTCTTGGCAGCATACATCATCGCATTCAAATATTCATGGGCCTTGACACTCGTCACCAGTTCTGCACTCCTATTCATCCTGATCGCTGTCAGTATAACACTACCTCGTTTAACGCAAGCTCAGCAAAGTGTCGACAAGGCAGATGAGAAGCAGTCATCCATCGCAGCGGAGGTGTTCAGCTCGGTGCGGACAGTGGTGTCACTGGGAGCGGAAGGGAACCTCGCCACAAAATATGCACTTTGGGTTGAAGAAGCGCGTAAAAGGGGCAGAAGGATGTCTGTCTTCCTTGGATTCCAGTTCGGGCTCATTTTCTTTGCCATGTATTCGAGCTATTCCTTAGCCTTTTGGTTTGGATTGAAGTTGTTCCGCGACGGACACATAGGGAGCATTAACACAGTTATCACGTGAGTACATCCGCCGAGGTTGGGTTCCTGTGCTAATCGGAGATAGTGTATTCTTCTCGGTCATGGTGGCAGTGAGTGTTATGGGAAACATTGCCTCGCCTTTGATTATTATCTCCAAGGCAGCTAGTGCGGCGGGTGCATTCTTTGAGATGCTGGATTCAGAAAAGATCGACGCTAGCGGTCTTGATGGATCCGATGCCTCGGCGGAGGTGGACATAGTCCTCGAAAATATTCACTTCGCATACCCTTCCCGACCAGACATCAAAGCTCTGAATGGGCTTAATGCTCGATTTCAGCGGGGAAAGACGACAGCGTTGGTGGGTCCCTCGGGTTCGGGGAAAAGTACGATCGTGGCTCTACTAGAGCGATGGTATCAGCTGAGCGGAACCAGCGATAAAGATCAAGGAGCGATCTATGTGGGCGAACACAATGTCAATGACTTGGACCTGAAGTGGTGGAGGTCCCAGGTCGGGCTGGTACAACAGGAGCCAGTTCTTTTCAACGATACTATTTTTAACAACATCTCTCTTGGGCTAATAGGAACGAAGTGGGAGCATGAGAGCCATGAGAAAAAGAAAGAACTCATTGAAAATGCGTGTCGGGAGGCTTTCGCAGATGAGTTCATTCAACGGCTACCCAAGGTATGATCAAGACAATCACCTGAGTATCAAATCTGACATTTGCAGGGATATGACACTCCAGTTGGCGAAAATGGTACCAAGTTAAGCGGTGGACAGAGGCAACGACTTGCGATAGCCCGCAGTATTGTGCGCCAACCATCTATCCTGATATTGGACGAGGCTACGAGTGCGATCGATGTGCGCAGCGAGAAGATTGTCCAGGCAGCCCTTGATCGGCTCTCTCGCAATCGTACTACAATTGTCATCGCCCACAGACTTTCGACCATCCGACAAGCCGACCATATTATTGTGATGAAGGGTGGTGTGGACATCGAGCAAGGTACTCACGAGGAACTTCTCAAGATTGAGGGTGGAGTCTATAGCGGCCTTGTCAATGCTCAGAAAGTGGAGCTACTGGATGATGACACGGCCACCAGCGACATAACCGAAGAATTGAAGGAAGATCTCGAACCTGCAGACGAACTTGTTCGAATGTCTACGAATCAGGATGGCAAGCGGTCGAAAACGAAGAACAAGGGCTTCTTCGGCAGCATCGGACTATTCTTATATGAACAGAGGGCACTTTGGAGATTTTACATTCCAGTCGTGGCTAGCGCGGCTGGAGCTGGAGGTAAGCCCGCTCAAATTCGCGTTCCCAATACAGACTAACGAAGAATGCTGGTAGCTGCGTTCCCACTTCAAAGTTGGTTGTTTGCGAAGCTTATTGCGGTGTTTCAATTGACTGGCCAAAGTCTGGCACATGCAGCCAACTTCTGGGCATTGATGTTCTTTATTCTGGCCCTAGGGACAGCTGCATCCTACGGACTTATGGGATATTCTTCCAACAGGTTCTCATTTGTAAGTGTGCCATACAATCTTACGGATCATGGAGCTAACTCATCTGCAGGAAGTATCCTCCTTCTATCGAACGCAATATTTTCACAACGTGCTCAACAAGCCTATTCCATTCCACGATCAGATCGAAAACGCTTCTGGATCCCTTGTCTCTCGGCTAGCGACAGACCCGAAGCAAGTGCAAGAGATAGTCGGGATAAACGGTGCATTCCCGCTGTCTTCCATCTTCAGCATTCTGGGATGTATCATCATCGCGTTCACGTTCGGCTGGAAGCTCAGTCTCGTCGCTGTCTTCGCAGCACTGCCATGCACGTTCCTTGCAGCGTTCATGCGCATTCGCTACGAAATTCAATTCGAGGCAATGAACGCCAAGGTCTACTCCGGAAGTTCGCAATTCGCAGCTGAAGCCATAGACGCTTTCCGTACCGTCTCAGCTTTGACAATGGAAGATGTGATCCTGGCCCGGTATTCCAACCTCCTACGCGATCACCAAACTAAGGCTTTCCGAAAGGCCTGGTACGCCACCCTCATTTTCGCATTCTCTGACAGTGTCGAGCTGTGTGCCATGGCACTCACATTCTGGTAAGCTCCCCATAACCAACCGTTCACCACTGCATCTAACGAAAATCGACAGGTACGGCGGCCAACTCCTCGCGTCCCGAGAATACCAACCAACCGACTTCTTCGTAATCTACATCGCAATCATCCAAGGCGGCCAATCCGCCGGCCAATTCTTCAGTTTCGGATCCAACGTCGCGCAAGCCATAGCAGCCGCAAATCGCATGCTAAGCCTCCGTCCAAACAAAGCCGAACAACAAGAAGCCCAAATCATCAAATCCCAACCCGAGTCCCTCCGAACCCACTCCGGAGCCAACATCGAATTCACCAACGTCGCATTCCGCTACCCCAGCCAAGATACCCCTCTATTCACGAACCTCAACGTCAAAATCGAAAGCGGCCAATTCGTCGCCTTTGTCGGCCCATCCGGCTGCGGAAAAACAACCGTGATATCCCTCCTCGAACGATTCTACACCCCCTACCAAGGAACCGTCCTCATCAACGGCAACGACATCCACTCTATCGACGCCTCATACTACCGTCGCTCGATATCCCTCGTAGCACAAGAACCCCGACTCTTCGAAGGTACTATCCGCGATAACATCACCCTCGGACTGGACTCCTCCGAATATACCGAGGCCGATCTGATCCAAGCATGCAAGGACGCAGAAATCCACGATTTCATCACCTCCCTCCCGGAGGGATACTCCACTGATCTTGGGATCAAGGCCCAGACGTCCATGAGTGGAGGACAACGTCAACGCATGTGCATTGCACGGGCGTTGCTGCGCAAGCCGTCTCTTCTTCTGCTTGATGAAGCCACATCGAGTCTTGACTCGCAGTCTGAGAAGGTCGTGCAGGCAGCGATGGAGCGCTTGGCTGCGAAACGATGCATGACGATTGTGGCGGTCGCGCATAGATTGGCTACTATTCAGAAAGCGGATACGATATTCGTGTTTGGGGAGAGTCGGAGTGGATATGGGTCGAGGGTCGTCGAGCAGGGGAGTCATCAGGAGTTGTTGCGGAATAAGGGGACGTATTGGCAGATGGTGAGTGGCACTTGAACTATTCTGTGTGATTGGGTTTGCTAATTGTTCGCAGTGTCAGGAGAACGCGCTCGATCGGTGATTGTATCCTACACGATTTTATTGGTATAGATTTTGGTACATATTTGGGACAACCTGCTGCTGTGGAGTTGGTGCATCATTCGATTGGATGGTAGCCGGAGTAGATAACTTGCTATTACAACTAATACCCTCTTAATATAGACGATCATGCTATACACCCTTCAACCACGAATCACAGTATTATCCACTCCCTGTACGGGGACCGTAAGAATCCCTCCCATCTGCACGCAGACAACAACCGACTTAAGTCTTACATAAAGGAGATAGTGCCGATGCCGCCGCACTCCTATTGCAAGCAGGCACGTCCAAGCAGCTATGTCAGTAGAGATAGACTTTCCAGAATTTGAATCTTATGCCTCGTAAAATTCCGGACCCACGGCATGCATAGCAGATCAACAGTTGCAACAACCTGCAATGCCATTTGAACTGGTGTCAAACTGACTAGAAGATGGTGGATACCAAGGTTTAGCCGGGTGTGACCGTCATGCGGTCCGGTCTATTTGTGGAGTAAGCTAGTGCCAAAGAAACGATTGGTCCACGGAACGGGAAGTTGCCTGATGATTACTGCGTGAGATGACATGAATCGCTAGAGGCAGAACGGTTGCCTGTGCTCGCACTTTCTGGGCGCGATATGCATATTTCGCACAGAATGCTTGTATCAATATTGCCAACTATACCATAAGCAGGCGGCTTACTGATTTCTACTACCGTGAATCGCTATCTCATAGAAAAGTGGACATTCTATTAATTCTTCGTGAGTCATTTCGGACATTTTAGTGAGATCGTCGGTTCAGCTCGTCCAGACGCTAGGGTTCGTGACTGTTAAAGAAGGAAATCGATTCTGGCGCCGTCTTCGCTCCCCAGTGCTTGGGTGTGCCAGTAACAGGATTCGATGGTGTACTCGAGTTGCCGGATTTCTTCTTGCCTCCTCTCTTCTTTTTTGACTTCTTGCGGGGGCTCGAATCATCGCCGGGGGCATCCTCTGGTGTCTGCGCTCTGCTTCGTAGGGTGAATTTTGGATTCGGATCTGGCTTATCGAACGAGGCTTTCTCTGGCTGTATCTCTTCGTCTGGCTGCGTCGTCTTCTCTTGCTGAGGAGCTTTCTCCGGTTGAACCGGGGCCGCTGTTTCCGGAACGGGCTTTGAAGATGTCGCAGGCTTTAAATCTTCCTTTAGTGTGGGTTCCAACTCTGATTTTGGCTCTGTCTTTGATGGGGTTGATTCCGGTGCAAAGCTTTGATACCTCACTGGCTGCGGCGACCGGAAGGTGAATGAGACAGGTGAAGCTGGAGCAGGAGATGGAGATTTGGGTTTGTCTTCCGGTTGTTCTGGCACGGTGTCTGCGGGTTTAGAATCCTTGACACCGTCCTCCGAACCATCCACGCTAGCTTCGGGGTCGCCCTTGGTGTCATTGCTGTCAGAAACAAGAGTTCTTTGATCAGTAGAAGCATCCTCGTCGGACACGAAGGCAGCACGGGTGGCTGCTGGGTCGTTGGTAGTCGCCTGGGTCAATTTGGCAATGCTCCCGGAGTAGATCTTCAAGACGAGTTCCAGTAGAAACTGATCGAACATTGCATTGCTTCCCACACCATACTTCAGAATATCGGTTCTGAACTGTTCTTCGCCGGCTTTGAACGCTGCAGCAAGTTGATCGTACACAAAGTCCTCAAACCACTTCCTACCGACGAACAAAGTAGCATACACCTCCCGCGCAATCTTGAGTAGTTCCAGTGTTGACACGGAGTCGACGAAGGTATGCATATAGCGCTGTGCGTGGTCCAGCAGGCCCTGGATCTGGTGTCGCTGAGCCATGTGGAAGGCGTATACGCTGCGTTTGAATTCGCGAGCTCGGGCTTTGCAAGTAGATACGTTGGGATATGTGGCGAGGGTTTGATATTCCCCAGTGTAAAGATAATGGATGAAGGTATGTCCAATGTCGGCGTACATTTCTTCGAGGGCGAATTCCTTGATGTGGGCGAATTTGGGCAAGTTGGCGATTTTGAGGACGTAGTATTCGGGTATGACGTAGGTGGTGCGGCCGATTGTGATGTGGTTGACAGGACCTGCGTAGGGACTGTAGTGCTTTAGTCAGTGTTTGATCATAAGAAAACAGAGGCAAGTATCTCAATGGCCTAGCTACCTGTCACGAGGCTGGGGATAGTCCGTGATCGTTTTGGGAGGCGATTCAGGCTCAGAGAAAACATTTTGGGTCGGCTTCTTTGGCGCAGTGCCAAAGAGATTGCACAATGGACTGGGCCCTGGGAATATCTTTGCCATTGTGTATGCCGACTGTCGTGACAGACAGACAGATATGGAAGAATTGATGTGAGGGATGGCGATTCAAAACAAAGACCGACCAAGATCCCTGGTTAGCCAGGCAATATGGACTCACCGCCTGGATTAACCGACTTTCGGGCCCTCGCCGCCTGCCGCGATAGGCAAGGTGTGTATTTACTTACCCGCAGAATGATCTTATCTCGGGAATCCCGTGGTTGAGCCCGTACCTGAACTTGAAGTCGCTGCTCTGTGTCTATCAATTATATAGATTCACTTGTACATTTTCTTTTCATCATCTTTCATCAAGCACTTTCATGTTTTTAAATGGTCATTTCCGAGGAATCGTAAGCATTTTTATGATCTCTCGGAGAATTCCGTGACGCGTTGTTTATCGGCTGCCCCAGGCACACTTCTCCACAATATCCTACTTGCCTATTTCGGAAAGAAACCGTACCGATAAGAAGGTATGCAAGTTATGGTAATATTGACCCATACAGCATCTGACAACATTACTTAAACTGTTTCTGGATTTAAGGTATTCTATCCATATGCTCCTTGGTTCATGACAACCAACCAGAATATGTCAACCCCTATTACCGCTACTTACTGTCAACTAAACAATCTCCTCACTGTCTAATACTACATACAAACTCCTCCACCTCCCTTCGAATAACCCCCTCCCTAACCAAATACCCCATCGACTCCACAACCCAAGTCTGACAATCCCTCTGCACCACCCTCCTCCCAACCCCAACCCCAGCCTCTCCAACACTGTTCAGCGACTTCCCCGGCACCTTCGCCTGATACAGAATCCTCTCGAAGGCACAACCCGGCACATTCTCAATCCTTTCCGGTCCCTCCATCAGCTTCTGATTAAAATACCTCCCATCCACCCACTGCAATGGGATCCGCTTCGTTGGAATATCCGGACTGGTACGAAGATTGTGGCTGCGCTTGATCTCAAAGATGAACCCGTTGCGCACATCACCGGTTGCGTGGATTTTTACTCCGATCAGCGTATCATCGGGAGAAGAGATCCAGTATGCCCAGTGGTCTTTGAACGGGTGGCCGTTGAAGATATGCAGTTCGAGGAGCAGGGAGTCTTTGGGGCCGGTGGAGGGGACGGTGGGTGGTTGTGGGGTGTTTCTTTGTGCTTGAGTTGCTGGTGGGGGGATGGGTGCGGGGGGCGGGGGTGGTGGGATGGAGGACATAGTATTGAGTGAGTACTGTAACTTGTATATGCTATGTACTTCGAGCAGTAGTGTGATAGTGTCTAGTGTAAAATTGAGAAGCGCCATAGGGACTACATAGGCGTGTCTGTAGTTGGCGCAGTTAAGCGCTGTTGCCTGGGTAAGCGCGGGGTGAGATGCAGTGATCGTCATCCATACAAAAGTAGGCACATAACAAAATGGGAGCAAATAAACTCATACTGCCTGACAGTGCCCTGGTCAAGTAACTTATATCTTCCTCATCTCAACCACCCCCTCCCCAAACTCCGGATACACCTGGAACGTGACCCTCAACCCCGCCACCGCAGCCATCTGTTCCCAATCCTTCTGGCCTCTCTGCCTCCCACCAAAGAACAAGATCATCGCCGCATGCGCCCCGGCCATATTTATATTCTTGGGCAGCCCATGAATCAACAATCGAGAGTACGGCGCCATCGCCTCTGCAATCTTCTGCAACAGTCGCGCGGCCTCTAAATCAGGCAGATCATGCATGAGATTCTGCAGATGGTACACCAGCGCCCCCTTGACCGGCTGGGGGTTATCCTCTCCCTTGAAATTCCACTTTTGTAGCGTAATACCTGGAATACTCGCAATGCCCGGATTGAAATCCTGCACAATAAGATCCGCTTTCTGAAGTTGTGGAAATGCTGCCTGGAGCTGCAGGAGCATTTGGCCCTTACCACCGCCTATATCTACCATTGTTCTCGGGATTGAGATGCCGTCTGCTTCATTAAGGACAGCTTGGAGATCGTATCCGTGGGCCTCGAGATTCTCGGGAGTTGGTAGAACAGTGCCGAATTTCCCGTCCATGAAGCCGTTGACGTTGGTAAGGCGGCCGTTGGCTTCCATGATGGACCAGAAGTTCTGTTCGGCGAGATCGGCGCGACCTATACTGTTGTAGGCGTAATGTAGTGGGTTATCCACTTCATCAAATGGGTATTGGAAATTACTGGCTTCGAGCTTTCGCATGAGGAAGGCGGATGCAAAGAGGCCTTCTGTTGTGCTGGAGAACACATGTGTGTTAGGTGGAATGTTCAGTGGTGAGTTGAACTTGTCAGATCTTACAAGAGGAATGATCCATGTTTGGCTGACGGAGTCGCTTCAATGTGCTTGGTAATTTCGTTCGCCTGGTACATGTCCTCATCCACTAGGTTAACAAAGCCCAGACCGGCCATGGCGAGCAATGTGTCTTCTGCATAGAGCATTGTGGATTAGCTACTGCAAAATACTCGCTGCGAGGTGCAGTAGATATACTGACGGACGAGAATCAGAGCTGCCTGATGGGTCAATATGGGCTGCTAAATCCAACAGCGCAGATTACTCACATGGCTCAGGGTTACCAGGCTTCATGTCCTTACGGTACAAGGCTAGGATAGCTTCTGAAGAGAGTGCATTATCCTGGGGACTCCTTGCCAGTATTTCGAAGAGCCGGAACCGAATAGCAACGGGCACGAAGCCTAGTGAACACGCCTATAGTGGCATCTATTAGTCCAATTTCCCGTACTGGAGATGTATTGAATTCACTGAATTGATTGTTTTCTCGAGAACTGCGCCTGCAGAGACTGAAGCCATAGTGTTTCACCAAATTATTAACCGACTTGGACATTAATTTCCTGGTGCGGACTTCGATGCCGTTATATACACTTCATGCTCGTATTCCAAAGTAATTGAGTTCCTCGCATTCGTCGCGCACAATCTGATTCATAAGTGATGTGCTGAACCAGGAAATATCAAGTTTCGTGACCGGTGTGATGGGTGCGATGTGCGCGTCATAGATTTATGCAGCTGCCCAAAACAAGTTGTGCACGTGTTGCACTAACGAGATTTTGGTCGGAATACGAAGTGGTGACCGAGGAGGTTTATCACCCTTTGCAGCTAGTAGCAATAACCTTGATCATATTCGAATAGGATTGCATTTCGCTTTCTCGATGCGTGGGGGTAGATGCGGGTGTTTCTATGCATAACGCACACCACAGCCATTCACCTCTTCGCCACTTGCGAGAGCATGAGTATAGCAGCACGTTATAAATTCCTCGGCATAGAGCCGCCATTACTAGCTGGAGCCAACGCCGCAAGGACGAAATGTGACTTTCGAAGTCAGCGAAATAGTTCTAGATGAAGATGGGACCTCCGCCACACAAGAATCAATCATATTCATGATCTAGGGGTGATATGATGACATGAGATAATTGCAGTACAGTCATCACGGTCGGCCATCGGGTCATTAATTATTAAAGATGAGTCTGAACTAGACCTGAACTCGTTAGCCTCTCATCCTTCGGGATGGAATCTCACCATCACGGAGACATTCCGGAGCGATGATTTGCCCGCACTCTATCAGTCCTAAGTGGATCGGACACATTACCCGCCAATGCCCTAAGCAGGATGACCAAGAATATGCCCGAGCAGGAATAATCACTCCGAATAGATTCAGAATGCAGATGTATATAAAGAGAACAATAGTCAACAGTAAACACACTATCACTCAACACCAACACAATCACACAATTACAACTTCACACCATCCAAACTAGACTACCAAAATGTCCCCAATCACCCGCCCACCCCTCCACCCCACCCTCTCCGCCATCCACCAAACCATCCCAACGATGGACATCAGCACGCCCGAAAAACGCCGTGTCTACCGGGACTACCTGACCACACACTTCACACTCGAAAACACCCTCAAGGGCCATGAATCCACCATTGCCTACCAAGAAGTCGACATCCCGGGTCCCGCTGGTCCCCTGCGCGCCACCATTTTCCGCCCAAAGCACACTACCCTGAATGTCTCCTCCACCCCGGGAATCCTGCATCTGCACGGTGGCGGCCACTCCACCGGAAACCGCTTCATGGGCTTCACCGTGCTGGACTGGGTGGAGTCCCTCGGCGCAGTGATCATGACAGCCGAGTATCGTCTCGCACCGGAACATCCCCAGCCTGCGCAGTTGGAGGATAGCTATGCGGCGCTGCAGTGGATGAGTGAGCATGCAGGTGATCTGGAATTCAATCCATCCAAATTGGTAGTATGTGGCGGTTCAGCGGGTGGTAACCTCGCCGCTGGCCTGAGCCTCTTGGCAAGGGACCGCGCCGGTCCAGCAATTAAAGGCCAAGTACTGATGTACCCCTGGGTTGACGACAGCGTGGAGTGGAACTCGATGGAGCAGTTCGGGGATATTGCGCCGTTGACGAAGGCGGATGCGGCGCAGGCGAGCGATTTTGCTTTTGGGGTGGAGAGAGAGTTTGCCGATATGTATACGGTCCCGTTGAAGGCGGAGAGTTTTGTGGGCTTGCCCGAGACATTTATTGATGTTGGAGAGGCGGATGTGTTTCGGGATCAGGATCTTGCGTATGCGGCTAGGCTGTGGAGGGATGGGGTCGCGACGGAGTTGCATGTTTGGCCGGGGTGCTGGCATGGGTTTGATGCTTTTGTGCCTGAGGCGGAAGTTAGTCGCAGGGCGAGGGAGGCGAGGTTGGGGTGGTTGAAGAGGTTGCTTGCTTGATGGGTTGGTGGTTGAGAATTTATGGTTGTTTGTGTTCTGAATTTGGTGTATATATTGTCTGATTTCTGTAAGAAGTATAGGAGTTGCGATTTTCCATTTTGAGCTTCTAGCTGTCCTCGATAAATGGCAGAAACTGGAAGGAAGCAATGGATCATCGATGTTCTTGAATGATTGCTCGGATTTTACCGTCTCCATTCTTCTTCTCAATCCCGTTATCCCCTTCCATTTTTTGTAATAGCCTCACCTTCACCTCCTTTCTCACTCTTCTGCTCAACATCAGGCTTGTTCTGCTTCACACTGCGCCATTCCATACAAACTGCACCAATGATAGCAAGACAAGCCATGATAAGTCCTACCTGAAAACACACGCGCAGAGAATCATTATAGGCTTGTAAACCATCATCTCGATAACTCTCAGGAATAAGGCTTAACACCTCCGTCGCACCCGTACTCTGAATCACCTGCGGAGTAATATCCACACCCGGAATGTGTGAAAGACGCCGAGCCAGCTGATTGGAAAGGACATTATCACCAACAGAAGTAAAAATAGCTCCAAAAAGCTGCTGACCGAAGAACATAAGCGACGCTCCGATAGCGACATCCTTCCGGGGCAACACAGTTTGCACGGCCATGTTGTTGATCTGGGTTGATGAACCAAGGCCGTAGCCGTATAGAATCTGGTAACCAATCCATTTTGCTTCTGGAGTGATCACATTCAAGGTGGTGATCAGACCGGCTCCGATTGATGTAAGACAAACACCAAAAATCAAAAAAGGCGTGTAGTATCCAATGCGGGAGATTAGTTGGCCGGTGACGATGGATGCTATAACCAATGGTATTATCGTTGGAAGGAGGTGTATACCACTGCTGACTGCCGAGACGCCTTCAATAGCTTGGAACCATATGGGAAAGTAGTATACTAGTATGGTCATTGGTATGCGTTTTCTGCCAGTAAATTGTGTGGAGACTTACTAATGATCATTGTATGTGCGCCTTGGCAGCAGCTCACCCAGAAGCCGCTCGCAATACTACGCTGGAGGAGTATTTTAGGTGGTAGTATGGCCTGCTCTGGCTTCCAGATTTGGATGCCCAGGAAGGCGATAAGAAGCATGAATGCAAGCACAAGCAGTGCGATGATCCTCCCATTGCTCCACTAGACAGTGTTATAATTGCTTATAGCTTAGAAGTTTGCCCTAATGGAGAAGCGGTTAACTTACGTTATATGTGGTACCGGCCCACTGTAAGGCCAGGCATAGACAGACAACACCGGGAATAAGCGCGATCATTCCTAGAGTATTCAGCTGCCGCAGCTTCTCTTTCAGTGGTGTGTTGGTGGATGTTTGTGCCGGGACATGCAATAGAAAGAAGACGACAACGAAGACCACCGCACCAAGAGGAAGGTTGATATAGAAACACCACCTCCATGTAACGTCGGTCGTAAAGACGCCACCAATCAACGGGCCTGACACTGACGCGACCCCAAACACAGCCCCAAATAAGCCCTGGTACTTAGGACGCTTATGAAGCGGAACGGCATAGACAATAATGACCATCTAAATGGATATGTAAGTAAAAAACGTTTTCATGATTAATTGGTTGAACAACTCACGGCGCCAGATGAAATTCCACCAGCTCCCATCCCGGCAATGGCTCTGCCTATGATAAAGGTAATGGAACTCGGTGCAGCACCGCATAGGGCCGACCCCGCCTCGAAGAGTATTATAGACGACATAAATACAGCCTTGATGTCGAAAGAACGATACAGCTTGCCAAACATCAGCTGGAACGCACAGTTTGTCAGCGAATATGCCGTTCCATACCAGCCAATATCGCCCGCCGAGTTGAATTCGTTGGTAATCTGAGGTATCGCTGTTGAAATAATCATGCGGTCCTGTGTCCATGTCAGATCGATATACTAATGTAGATCGGAGTATTGGGGAATACCAAAGACACGAGGAACATGCCAATCAACATGGATGTTATGATCATTGCAAGCCTTAGGCCCGAGGGATAGGTCGCTTCAGGCAGGGTGCTCCTGCAATCGCTGGCAGTTGTCTTATCCTCATCTTTGTGGTCTTGTGTTCGGCTGTTGCTTTCAGAGGACATGTTGATTGTTGTGAACCGCTTGCTGATCCAAATGCTAGTACTACCTCAAGAAGTAACTTAGACACTGGACAAGTCCAGCATCACGTACTTCGACAAAGTTTCACGTCAGAGACAAACGAAAGCGATTCTGTTCAATATATAGGTCTCCATCCTCGGCCGAGGAGTGGCAGTGTTCGAAGACATCTTTGTGGGGCTACAGCTATAGTATAGATGCCCTTCGGAAATGGAGCCGGCCATCTCGGGATCCGAGACAAACTACGCTAAACCATTCTGGGACCCGAAGGCTCCGAGGAACCCAATCTCGGGCATGAATCGTCCGATCTTACTTTTGAACACGTCCACTCCATACTATGAGAACAATATCCTGCCAAAATATGCTTGAAACACTTATCATAATAGCTGCCTCAGTCCGTATCTAGTGGATGTTGTCCACCCCTCCAGCTGGGGCTCTCGGCCCAAATCGACCGAAGCTCGCCTGTTCTCTCTGCGCTCGTCGCAAGGTGAAATGCGACAAGAGCGAGCCGTGCTCTAACTGCCTCAAGGCGCATGCTCAGTGTATATACGAAGCCCCGGCTTCGCCTCGACCACGAAAGAGGGCTCCTGATGAAGAGCTTCTCGCACGACTAGCCCGCTACGAAGAACTCATGCGGAATCACAATATCGATTTCTCCTCACACACCCACACCTGGATCCCTCCAAACCAGAAGTCTCAACCGAAGGAGAGTCATTTAGCGGGCTCACGCGCTGAGAATATCAATGAAGCTAGTGTCCAAGTATCATCACTGCTTACGGATGACACGACCGCAGAAAGAGAACGGTAAGATTTCCGGCAAACAACAGGCTGTCTGCGATATGTTACTAATGGTGACAGATGTTTGTGGTCGGATCTCAGGCCAGAGGTTCGTGTTTCCAGCTACTACCATAATCGTATAATACTAATAGCCCTTTGTAAACAGCTCAAGTATCCCTCTATTCAGAGCCTCGGACACAAGGATGACCCCGCCCTGTATCCTACTCCTTCCCTTGGAGAGGCTATCGCTGATACGCAAAGCATCCATGACTACCATCCCGAGCCAAAGCACATTTACCGGTTGTGGCAGATCTTCGTAGAAAGAATCCACCCGATGACAAAGATCGTCCATGTGCCTACCCTACAGCAGCGTGTCTTGGATACTAGCTGCAATTCATACTGCGCATCCAAGCCACTGACCGCTATCTTATTTGCTATCTATACCATTTCAATCACCTCTAGCTCACCCGGCGAATGTGAGACGTATTTTGGCCTGCAAAAGGCCGTTCTCTTGAGACAATACCGAATCGCAACTCTGCGTGCTCTCATTGCAGCAGACTTTCTCACAACCACCGACCTTGAAGTTCTACAGGCACTGGCATTATTCCTTTTCTCTAACCCAAGATGTGATTTAACAACCACCCTGTCCGGCGCCGCCCTTCGGCTAGCCGAGAAGATGGGCCTACATCAAGACACATCTGACCCCAACATAACTATCTTTGAGAAGGAAATGCGCATTCGTCTATGGTGGCAGCTCCGCGGCCTCGAAGCTCGGTGTCGCATTAGCTCTACACCAGGGATGAAGCCACCACCCTCTTCCGAGATAGGCGATGTCCGCCTCCCACTTAACGTCAACGACGCGGATCTGCACCCGGACATGACTGAGCCTCCTCTGGAACACAAAGGTCCCACAGAAATGATCTGTGTCTTATTGAAAATGGATGTTTCCAACTGGCGTCGACGCTCTCCGACAGCTTCTCAGCTCATCGAAAGTGTGATGCAAGGCTCGGTCAAGTCTAAGGAGATAATCGAACTGGAGAGCAAAGCGGTTGACGAGCTCAACGACATATACTGTTGGAGAAATACTCGTAATTCTGATCCACACATCCCCCTTCATAGCCTAACTCAAGCCATTGCGAATCTCTCAATTGCGCGGTTCAGGTTCAAAATTCATCATCCTCGCCGACGGTTCGGCGCAGCTGGCAACGAGATCTATATCACACGTGACGAACGTGACATTCTGTTTGAATCAGCCCTGACCTGGGTACAATCCATGATGAATATTAGAATACGCAGCAAGTTTCCCTATTACTTGTTCACGCACTTCACGACAGATACCTACATGGACGCTTATATCCACATTCTGCTTGAGCTGCGGCAACGACGCTCCGGGGACCGCGTATCACTTGCTTGGCAGCTGGTAGAGGACCTCTTCAGCGAACATCCTGAGCTTATCGATGACAGTAACCCTTTCTTTGTTTCGTTCACAGACTTGGTTTTGGATGCATGGGAATCTCGCAGTTACGAGCTGGATAAAAGCCAGGGAGCTTTAGAAGCCGTCGCCACGCCTCGATTTATCCAACGACTCTTTGATAAGAAGCGTAACAACCGTCTGAGTGATTTGACTTCCGGCTTGGATTTACATAACCCGGGGGGGTTTGAGTTGCAGGACGAAGAGGATACTAGTTGGCTGTCTTGGGGAGACTTCCTTCAGTTGTGAGCACGACTATGCGAAACAGTGAAACAAATCAATGATTGAACATAATGAAAGCGAATAAATTAATGTCAACGACCTAATACACCCATGGCCGGGTCTATATTTCCGTCGATGCGTCGAATGTACACCTTTATAACCTACACAAGCTAGCCTGCAGAACAACTATGACGCAATGCTATTGTGAATCCTTGATAGGTACGTCTAGGGAGTTTAGTTTAATTATTCTGAAGTTAAGTCTACCAAGAGATGAAATTGGCTTCGGCAAAATCAAAACTCTACCGATCAACACATCACCAACCTGCAGTTTCGGTGCAAACAAACAGCTCTACCAATTGAAGCAAGCATGAAACACAAATTTGTTTCCATCAACGTCTTGCTAACCATAAGCAAGGACTGACAATAGCCAAATTCCTTACTGTAGTATTCTAGGCTTTCGGACATTTATCGTCCGATCTTCGTCGTAATCCGAAATTTGGACGGCACAGTGTAACTCAGCAATGGGAACATGTCACCCAACTCAATTCTCCTCACGATGAACATAATCAAGAGCAGATTTTATGCTGTCGAAATCTCTGTCATATTCATGAGGGAGAAGTTTGATTATTCTAGCCCGCTTGGCAGCTTTCGTCTGCTGCTGGTCAACTTCCACCCACTTCCGCTTGTACCTGGCATCCTGTGCTACAGAAAAACTTGGACGTATGCCAAAACAATCATCGAGTGCAATCTGCTCGCTGTATTCAACATGGCTGTCGATGAAGTCATTGTATTTTACTTCAGGGTAAAGCGACCGTTAGTCATTATTTTGTCTGTATGGATAATTAGCCTAGATGAGCAAGTTCTTTGCGTTGGACTATTCGTCCAAAAAATAAGAATTTCTGGGGTTTCCCTCGATTATCTATGCTTTTTCAAAAGCCCTGGCATTGTAGTAATTGTCCAATTAGGCAATTATCTCAGTCTCGCCCAAGAATCTCCTATTCGGGATGCCGTCGTAATATACCCCGCACTTTCTGCTTACAATACAAATATGATACTTGTTACTAAGCCAACATGGCACATTATCCAATAGTGAGGCTCATTTTGAACATATTTTACACTCTTTCTGTTTTGTAATGTTATAGTCGTACTTTGGAGATGTGGGATAGTAGTAGGACAACCGACTTCTTCATCATCATTCTCTTTTTATATGGTTTTGTGCCCCTGATATGTATACAATAACTACTGAACTTTCAATCTTTTAGGAGCATGACTAAGCCCTTTCATATATTTTCACAGACCGATGATCAGTCTCGCATTGGCCTGACATTACTCGTAGTATTGATTAGTATATTGTCCAGGATGCCTGCTACTGCCTGGGCATTTATGCACAAGGATGATTATTGGTAGCGATGTACCAGAGAGACCGCCTTTTATGGGTAGGATGTCTATAGATGAACTCAAGTGTTGTTAAGTGGGCTCTACGCCAGCGCTCGCATCAATAACGCCAATCAAGAACACACCATCTATTTAGTTCTTGGGAGAGGGGCACAAGAAAAGCAGCGCAAGAAAAAAGAAAGAGACTAGAAAAATCTCTATCCAACGAAAGTGTCAAAGTGGAAAACATGAGCGAAAGAAAGGGAAAAGACGTGATACACGAAGACTCATACTTTTCCACCATGTAATCCCTAGACCGATTGCACTTTTTTATGTCAATATTGTACACTGCTACCAATAAATAAAATTGTCAGAAAATTTCAAAGCATTACCCTATTCCGGGTAGTATTTTTAGACTGCGTGTGAAACAATGAAAGTAATAAAATGGTGAATGCAGATGCAATTGGTCAAATACGCCGGGTGTCACCGGATATTCAGCTGTGACGTCATATGAATATAAAGAGATCAACACGTCTGACAGACCAACTCTGTTCCTCCAACTCACATCACCCATTGCACCATGGATCCAGCAAACGAATACTGCGGGCTTGAAGACTATGGCCTGGTGGGGGACATGCACACTTGTGCACTGGTCAGCAAGAATGGCAGCGTCGACTCCATGTGCTGGCCCGTGTTCGATTCCCCTTCCATCTTCTGCCGCATTTTAGACAAGGAGAAGGGAGGTCATTTTTCGATTACTCCGGATCGCAGATTGAAGAATCCTCTCAGTAAGCAGCGCTATCGCCCATATACCAATATGCTAGAGACCCGTTGGATCCATGAAGAGGGTGTGATGAATATCTTGGATTACTTTCCGATCGCAAAACCCAAGCCGCATGTGGTCGAGAAAGGACTTCCTCAGTGGTGTCGATGCTACCAGAATAAAGGCTCTGCGCAACAAGAGGCATGTCGTTCAGGGATGGTGCGGAAAGCAGAGTGCGTCCGTGGTGAAATGGAGATAGAAATTGAGGTCTTCCCGGCATTCAATTATGCCCGCGATTCACATATAGCCCAACAGTCTTCGGCTTCCGACGACGGTATCCAAGTTTACCACTTCCAGTCAGAGAGTCAAAATCTGGTTGTCAGCGTTTTGGGAGACAAGGGTGACATTTCCGAGGATGACTCCGATCTTAACATTGAATTTGAACTGTCTGATCGACCCGGCCACCTGGGCCCCGGTCTGATTGGGAAGGTTACCTTGAAAGAAGGGCAGTCAATCACTATGCTTCTTCACGATCAAGAGTCCATAACGTGCAATGCCCAGGACCTGGCCCCATATCTGCAGCAAATTGAGCGAACAACAGGCGATTTCTGGTCAGACTGGACCAGCAAGTGCACCTTCCGAGGCCACTACCGCGAGCAAGTGGAGCGCAGTCTACTCGTTCTGAAGCTTCTGACCTACAAGCCAACCGGAGCAATTGTGGCAGCTCCTACCTTCTCACTGCCTGAGCATATAGGCGGGAGTCGTAATTGGGACTATCGGTACTCCTGGGTGCGTGATGCAGCATTCACCGTCTATGTATTCTTGAAGAACGGCTATCCCGAAGAAGCCGAATCATACATCAACTTCATCTTCGAGCGTATCTTCCCACCCATGGATAAGAATCCAAAGCCAGGGGAGCCCTTCCTGCCCATCATGATCACCATTCATGGCGAGCGCGAGATTCCCGAGATGGAACTCGACCATCTGGAAGGGTACCGGGGAAGCCGACCGGTGCGTATCGGCAACGGTGCAGCAACTCATATCCAGCTCGACATTTACGGAGAACTTATGGACAGTATTTACCTCTACAACAAACACGCAGCCGACATCTCATACGACCAGTGGCGAGCTATCCGTCGCATGATCGATTTCGTCATCCAGATCCGTCATCAGCCTGACCAGTCTATCTGGGAAGTGCGCGGACCACCGCAGAACTTTGTCTACTCGAAAATCATGCTTTGGGTGGCTTTGGATCGTGGCGTGCGTCTAGCGGAGAAGAGATCCAATCTACCATGTCCGGATCGAGCGCGATGGATGCACGAACGTGATGCCCTGTATGATGAAATCATGACCAAGGGGTATAACGCAGAGAAGGAATTTTTCTGCATGAGTTACGAAAATCAGGATGCTATGGATGCTGCTGTGCTTATTGCGCCGTTGGTGTTCTTCGTAGCGCCGAATGATCCTCGGTTGCTGAGCACCATACAGAAGATCACGGATGTTCCCGCAAAAGGAGGGTTGAGTGTGGCTAATATGGTATCGCGGTATGATACTGGGAAGGTCGACGATGGTAAGCTATCCCCCATCTCCTTTAACTACGAAGGACTTCTAACAATTATTCCAGGCGTTGGAGGCAACGAAGGCGCTTTCCTAATGGTCACATTTTGGCTCGTTGAGGCTATGATGCGTGTAAGTACTGAACTCGCCTCCTAGTCGTTCCATCTCGTCACCTAACAATAATGGTCAGGCCGCCAAGTCCAAAGCATATCTTCCTCACGACCCGTTTTTCCAACAACTGCGCAAGACAGCCACATCGCAGTTCGATAGCATTCTATCTTTTGCAAATCATCTGGGTATGTTCTCAGAGGAGGTTGCGACGTCAGGCGAGCAGATCGGCAACATGCCGCAGGCTTTTAGTCACCTTGCGTGTGTGAGTGCAGCGATGAATCTCGGCGGAGGGGGCGAACGATGATTCTACCCGATCATGAAGAAAGCTCGAAAGGAACAATAAATAATCAAAATCATCGTAGAGAGATGTGCAAGGTTTCTGGCGTTCATTATCTCATAAATTACATATGAAATTGAAGCAACTTCGCATAAAGTTCCCTTTCAATCCGGCAAACAAATTCATAATACCTGCAAGAACGCTTCATCTACTTGAGGTAGACACAAATTGCTACAAAGAATGTCTAGGTTGTACTATACTAAAATATCTCTATCCTTCTGTGATGATCAATATTCATGTTTTACATACCCCTACTGATGGGGAGCATGTATAAAGACGATGTTGTAATTGCATGATTCCCATTTAGTATATATTTTACTGGATCACAGAAACGGCTCATCACCTGTTTGAAAGTAGTCACATTACCTGGCACTACACCGCCTGACCATTTAATCTGAGGAACACAAAGGTAAATCAATGTTGAACGAGATATCACAAAAAAAAAAAAAGAAAAAAAGAAAAAAAGAAAAAAAGAAAAAAAAAGAAAGGGAGAGGATCCGAAAAGAAACCTCAAGCGAAAAATAAAAAACAAAAAAGAAAGCCCAACGCGGGGCTCGAACCCGCAGCCTTGAGATTAAGAGTCTCACGCTCTACCGATTGAGCTAGCCGGGCTAGTTCGGTGAAAGGCCTGTAGGATTAATGCTACTAGTAGAGACAATTGACGGTTGATTTTTCAAGCTGACCTGCATCACGTGCTTGAGCCCCTTATAGACGGATGCATTAGTGGCATATTTTAGAGCATCCCATCTGCGAGATTGTGCATTAGTGACATTTTTAGAGCCATCTTGCGGCTGTGCATTAGTGCTATGCCTTAGAGCCATTTTGTATGCACGGTCTTGCATTAGTGTTACTTTAGAGCCATTCTGTGGCCGTGCATTAGTGCTATGTTTTAGAGCGATTCTGTATGCATGGGCCTGCATAGATACTAATAATGGAGCCATATCCTCAGATATGACTGATTTTTTAGATTGTGCCCCCACACTGTCTCTACTAGAAAAGTATATTACTATTCTACCAGTTTTGTATAGCAAAGGACATGTAAAAGCTTCATGACATCAACGTTTATCTATCTTGTCTACGTGCCTGCTTACCTAGTTTGTTAATGATAATCAGGCTGTTGAATAGTATAAAAATAATATTACTATACTTACAAACGTGGCTTCTCTACTTGTGTTGGTAATGAGGCAAATCGCAGTTAACTAGATAAGAAGTCTACCAAAGCCGAATATAAAATTCCAGCATATGCTATATAACTATTCGGATACTAATATCATTTGGCTAACAAGACGCTTTGCACAGACCCGCGATAGAGATAATATGATTTTCAAAGACTAGTTAGCCGCGCGCGTGTGACGCTCTACCTCGCTGTCTTACTAGCATTAATCCTTTAGTGAGTCAAGCCAGCAATTTGATTAATAGACTTCGATGGCATTTTCCACATCCAAAACAGGACCTTTGACTACCCCTTTCATGGGGCAAGGGACAATTTGCGAGACTTGGTGTCTTGGGATGATCGATTGTTAACGCACGTCTGAGCCTCCATATGCATGGCACTGCGTTAACTTAACATACAGAGTCATTATGAGACTGTGCGTTATAATCGGATTGAGCAACACTGCATCCTCAAGCCACCATAAACAACGTGATTGAAGGTTTAGTCCTTCTCGGTTAGCCTCTGCGCAGGATGTATCGACGAGCTGTCTGATTAGACACATTAGCAAACGCTGTAGATTTTCAGAGCGTCTCGTAGCCTACCAGCCTCGGTTCATATCTGATAGGGTAGTAGCTCCCTTTGTCATCTGAAGCTCTGATTGCAGGCGCGAACAGACATTCTCGCAGAGAAACACTGTACGCAGATAATTGTGCCGTTGCGCTTATAGGTGGAGACATGAGAAATTGGGTCTCATATTGACGCTTGACGAACCATGTATATTCTTAGATCGTAAGAAAGCCATAGCGACATTAGTGGTCATCCATGTACCGTGCGAGTTGGCCTATTTTATTAGCAGTACAGTCAGCTTCCGAGATCCTGTTTGAGATAGACATATGACAACTTGCCTAGCTTATTGGACAGGAAATTGTGCCGCGTTTGGCGTTTCTTCGGTGCGAATGTCCAGAATGTCTTAACCTCGCCTACTACTCTGATAGTATGCGTCTTTCGATCCACCATTACTATATCGGGTATGAGTTTCGACTTTGCCTTCGTGATCTTCTGCAAGCCGCGCTTTCGCTTCTGCCCTTCCTTTACAGGAACTTGGCGTCTATACACACCATATTGCGTGTCTCCGAAACAGACTCCAATTTTCACAGCTCCATTATCTCCCCAACAAATTGCAGCACATTATTTACGAAGCGACCCTGCACCCCTAACTCATTCGCCACGCCAATTGCCTCTCGAGATATGATAGGTATGAATGCCTCATATTTACCGCAGTAAGGTTCTACGAGGGCCTACATCTCCTTGGTGAAGTCTGGCCAGTTGCGAACCTGAGTGGGGTTTAGTGTAAACTTATAGTTTCCCGGCTATAGAGTCATGAATCCTGCTTCAGTAATCATTGTTAGAATACGGGCCCAGAGCTGTTGGCGACGGCCATTCGAAAGCTTTAGGAGATAGTGCTGACCTTAGGTAGTATAGACGTGGTTGATATATACCATATAGACTTTGAAGTTGTTAGGTAACTTATTAGAATAGCGAGCGATAGTGTTGTATATATGGGAATAATTATATCATTGCTTGTGGTACAGCTCTCGAGTAAAATATATACATATATATAGCAGATAGTTGTTCGAATATAGAAGGGAAACCAGCCTTCAAACGCAGAGAATATATACCTTCAGCTGATCCGATATGATGAATTGACGGGGTTCACTTTCAGTGTCTTCACCTGAAGCTATACTATTCACGTCCACCCAGAACCGAAATATTCATAGTGTATTAGATAACTTTCTACTTCACAGTTTCTCTACGAACTTCAAGAATACTACCATTAACCAGTGACCTTGTCTTGATGAATAGCAATAATAATACAATCTTGAGCTGCCATATGCACGGCACCGCATTAGCTTCCTTTTAGAGCCATCTTGTGGCCGTGCATTAGTGCCATTTCTTAGAGCCATTCATATGCATGGGCCTACATTTGACAGCTGCCATCTGCACGGAGCTGCCTTAGTGTACCTTTTAGAGCCATTCTTCATGCACGGCCTGAATGAGTCGCTCTAAATATGTGGGCCTTGCCCAAGTAACCAATGAAACTGTTAGCTAGCAGGGGTTTATGTACCCACTCTATGCACAGGCCATCATAATGGCGCTAATGCACAGTCTTGCAGGTTGATGGCTCTAAGCCTGCGGGACATATTGGCATATCCAATCACGCTATAGAATAGATAGTATGTGGAGCTCATGATCAACCCAGGGAAGTTGGGACTGATGCACAATTATACAGCACACATAAATTCTCATCCCTGCAGATTACATAATTTCCGCTGTGCTGCAGCTCTTGGCTAGTAGTAAATGTGGCTAAAGCTAGTAAAATAATCTGTAGATAACAGTAGGTAAAATTCAGCCCGTGGGATATAGCCAAGACGTATAGGTGACTCAACACCTTATTGCTTCAAATACGAGCCATTGGCGTCCAATAGTGCAAACCTACCACGGGTTGCTTTCGGGAGAATTGGTAATTTGCAGGACAGAACTAAATGTCTGTCCAATGATGGCTACGTCTCTTATTTATGAACAGGCCACAAAGGCCGTAAAGACACGAATGTATGGTCACTGAAGACATAGTGCGTAATATCTGGCCTACTCCGGTTGGAGTATATCGCAGTGGTTGCAATATAGGGTTTGAGATTCATCAACTTGACTGATCATCAGGCTAAGCGACATATAAGAATCGGCTCGCAGAAATGGCAGAGATTGATGTGGCGAACATCACGAGAACTGCGAACAAATGTAAAGCTCCTGATGACATTGGAGATTCAGACTGGATTAGACAATCTCCCGGATGACACATATGATAATTTGGATAATAATGATGATGGTCATGATGGCAATAGTAGAAGAGTAGGCCAGTAATACATTACGACCCTGCATGAGAAGCAGTAAATCCATGTTCCCGGGACATCTGCAGCGCGGCATCGGAAGGTTTCACTCACTCGTTTGCTGTGACAGGTCAGGTGATTACCAGCTTGTCAGCATGCTCATCTAGACCAACTCTACCTCCCCAACCCCTCGTATACACCTGGCACATTGCTTTTGCCCTTGATTAGCATTTATAGAACCTCTTCATCACCTGTCGGTCGTCTTTCAGTTTGACAGCAGTTGAACAATTTTCACATCCTATCACAGCGTCCACTTTCCATTCTTCTGCCCTCAGATCCCTCCTTCCTGAAGGAAAACAAAACCCTTCATCACAAGCACCTCCCGTGACAGTATTCTGTGAAACATGGGCACTCTCATGGTTGTTATCAACCCAATTATGGCCGCTGGCGGCTACGACAATGACCGCAGAGTCGGTACAGGACGTGTCCTTCCTACCAAGTTCAATCCTCCCTATCCTGACGATACACCACAATCCCTTTTCCCACCTGGCATCAAAGTCGACTGTGTGCCGCAGGTCCATCGCTTCATTCGACGAAACAATCCCCGCGAGCTCCTCATCTACACCAATGGAACCTGTGTGGAGAACGGCGGAGCCGTCCCCAGAGGAGGCTGTGGCGAGGTCAGAGGGGGCTGTGGTGTTGTGTACCGGTCTCCCGTGGACCTTCCTGAAGGCAAACTCAATCACTTCAAGATCCCTCTCGAGATCAAAGGACCCAGCGGCCGAAGACATCCCCACACGAGCGAGCGAGCTGAATTACGGGCCGTAATTGCAGCCCTCCGTTTCCGCTGCTGGACCGGAGAAGGGTTCAACAAACTGGTGATCGCGACTGATTCCGAGTATGTGGTGGAGGGAGCAACTTGTTGGGTCCAGGGATGGATCCAGAGGGGTTGGAAGACAAGAACAGGGAATCCTGTCAGTAATCGGGACCTCTGGGAGTGTCTGCTGGGTGAGTTGGAGCGGTGGTATGATCATGGCATGGACATCCAGTTTTGGCAGATACCGAAAGAATGGAATACCGAGGCAGCTCGCCTTGCTGAGCAGGCCGCGTTGGAGACCCCAGCTAGAGCGTTCGGCGATGTCTCCGGATACATGGTTTGATCTAAATGTGTTTATGGAAGGTCCTCAGTGTTCTCGTTTGTTGTTTGCATGGAAGGCCATATAAGACTGTCCGGGTACATGTTACGGCTGTTGTTGCTGAAACTAAAGATTGTATCTAAAGCATTTTTCAAATTATATATAGGGTCCAAGCTTTGAGCGTATAGTGCGGGCCACAGATCATTATCATCATATTAATCCCTATGATCCTGAACTAAAAATAGCCACTCAGATCCAGAGCGCTCGGTTCACGTGACTTAAAAAAAAATCAAGCGTTTGTGGCTATACGAAAAAGACGCTAGCGTGCATCTTGATCCTGCTTGGCTGGGAGATTCACCTCGCTGGACACAACTTCCTCCATCGTCATCTGGGAAAGCGCATCATACTGATGCTACAGCCTCCCTTTTTTTCAGCCCCGAAGGGCAATGGCATACTCCAGGGCAGCTTGAATCTGCTAACGCAGGGGAACAGGAATCCCGATAGCAACGTAATTACTGAGATGGCAGTTTGACTGTTAAGGTGCTGCAGAATTCTGTCCCGGGTTCGTCCTTGGCGCCAAACTCTGCTGTCGGGGTTTCGGGACGGCGTATCTAATAGGGAGCATCCTAGTATGAAATAGGGGAGGTGTTGTACAGCTTTAAACTTTTCGTTTTTATTTCTGTTATAAATGAAATGAGACGGTAACAAGGAAGAAATAAAAGGGTAAAATAATAATACTACTGATAATGATAACATAGCCAAATAAAATCGAAATCGAAATAAGGAATAAATGGGTCGCAGATCATATTCCACTGCACGGGAATAACCGGGTCCAAGGCCTAACTAAACTATAAGACCCTCCCGAGTGGTCCCGATATGGCCCGTGCCGAAGAATTCGAGCCCATCGCAGACAGTTAACGGTTCCCGTCTTGACCCATACTTTGTGAACCATGGATCAATGTTACTTTTCAGTTTCAGGGGAGCGCCCGTGAAAGTGGGCCGATTGGGCACCCAACGGTGAAAAATTATTTATAGTTGTTTGTGGTTAGGGCTTGTTTCTACTACAAGTCCAGGCCTTGGAAGGTATCAGTCTACCGGGATTTGTTAGGGTTCAGCATTCTTGGCACCAGATGTGAGTCATATCTATAGTAGTGACTATATTGAATCTATCACAGTGTTTTAATGGCAGTAGTAAGATAAAGTAGATTCTATTCCGAGATAATTTCACAAGAAAATAGGTGTATTAGAGCATGGATGTGGTATAGTATAGTCTATAAAGGAGATTTGATGGGTATGAGAGAACGCGCTTGTAACATGGAAAGAAACTCGTGTGGTATCGTGAACGTCCCTCGGTGTGGTTGTGGGACTCCTTGTGGCTTCTCGAGGGATGGGTATGTAATCGAAGTGGTGCTCGTTGTGCATCCATATGTTTAGCATACGGTAGCGTCGATGAGGTCAGAACCCACAGGGCTGTAATCAAAGAATACGTTAGCGGCCGATGCGATCAGCTGCGGGTAAAGTCCACACCTACATCTAGCGTCCCTGTCCAGCATAACGGCCAGGTTGGAAGTTGTATTCATCGTCCCAGTGCTCCTTCGCAGCTAACCCAGCTTTCCAAAGATCCAGGTGTTTGCGAAAGCGCGATTTGAGATTGTTTGGGGAGGATGGGCGGTGTACGCCATCCTGGACATTCAGACTTATTGATGATGGAGAGTCCATGTCGAGCGGCTTTGTGATGAACCACGAGAAAATATAGATGACTAGGGAGAGGAAAATGTTCTGATTCTATGATCTGAAATGACCAGGCTGGTCTATTCTTATATGTTTGTCACACCGGGACAAAAGAAAAATTTTTTATTGTTTTCTTTCTTTTTTCTCTTCAAGGATAGCGTAAGCCTTGTCGGTTTTCTCTCGGCGCGGGAGATTCTCGGAATCTCGGCGATGGTTCGGTTTTGCGTCTTCACTTTTCATATCCCGAGATCTCCCGCACCAGTCAAACAGCACGGTTCCTGACAACTCATCCTTGGTTAGCACAACGGACTCCCTGCCAAGCCATTGCTTGTATTGGGTGAGTTAACACTTTCATCATTTTTGTTTCTATCTCGTCGTCTAGTTGTCCTAGGTTTGGAAATGCTCTTTATCACGGTCTCCCTGCATTCTGCCTTCCTTCCCAAAAGCCCCAGGTATGGAACCGCTGGACAGCCCGATGCGACTGATGAAACCTGTATGGACTCGATACCTAGTCACTACTTATTTCCTGGCGTCATTACATATACCATTTGCTGACGATAGACGATACGGACCGCGCATCGCAACGTGGTGCGATGTAATTGCTACTGTCTAGACAGAGTTAGGTGAGTTACGTTGCCCGATCCTGGTGGTCGCGAGATTTTGGTGGCACCACACCGTTATACGTCGACCTGGTTCACAAACTCCAAAGCTTAGGGTACGAGCTCCCATATCTATACCCAGTCAAACTTTGAAGATCTGGGCCCACAATGTGTACCAAGGATCGGTCAGATGCTGTAGTCATTTCCAATCACGTGTTACGGACCTTATCCGGTTCACATGATTAGTGCCAAGGCTAAGCAATAGGGTTTGATTGACGGATGACCTTCCTTACTGAAAAGCAAGAGCAAGGACTACCAATTGCCGCAGTTTACCCAAAAAGTAACAGAGTGACCGATATGACTCACCGCATCCTTATTATATCTGATTAACAATTCAAAAGGCCATTGTAGCGTTCAATCTATATTATATCACTATTGAATAGTATAACATTAAGTAAGTTAAGTCTGTATGACTAGCCCAGATAGGTGTAACCCTCGACATTGGCAGAATGCCGACCATGATGAAGCTTGAAGATAGAAAACAAAGATAGACCCGGTGAATGGGGTGATAACGAGTACAGCGGGAAATACATTGATACCCATTAAGAAAAACAACGACTTTTAGTTCTTCACGTCCGCCCTTTGAGCATCCCTCTCCCTCTCTATTCTTCTCCACCCAGCTGCAAACCTCCACTGAATCAAAGGTCCTACCAACGCGAGCAGCTGGGCAGCGACGCAAATGGTAAATGCCACACCAACACCAACACTATTGATAAGAGGCATGATGAAGCTTGTACCACCCGCAGCAAAGAGACACCGTGCAAGGTTCAAACTGGCACTAGCCGCAGCGCTTCTATCGGGAAAAACATCAACAAGATAAGTCATGATGAGAGACTGTGTGGAGACAGCAGTCCAGCCCGTGATGAAGGTCGAGACGATTGGCACAGCGATGTGTACCCTACGTGAATAATTAATCGTCCAACCAAACAAGATAATAGAAAGGCACTGAAGGATGGAGAAGATTGGCACAAGTCGAAGGCGGGCCTTTTCGAGGGGAAAGTTCTCTTCGCGTATAGCCGCAGTTGTATCCTCTCCCTGCTCTGCGTCAAGCGAAGCCTCGTACCTGGCCTTCACCCGACGATAGTCGGCATCGAGAATTTTGCCAGTCACAAGTGTTCCAATCATGGATCCGACACCGTTCGCAATGAACGTCAAACCGATTTGCATCTCTGACAAACCATAGCGGCTTTCGAAAAGGGAGGACATTGCTGTGATGCTCATCTGCCATACGGCGTAATATACCGCGAGAAAGATGATAATAGGTGCCGCGTGGTTGCTGATGAGTATACGAAGCGGTCCCAAAATATCAATCCTTTTCTTTGCTGCGCGCTGCGTTTGGCCGTCCGGAATCTGCTCCCAATCGACCTTGGTCGTTTTCTGATATATGTCCAGCGGAAAGTTCACCAGTGGGTTAGAAGATTTTAGGGCCCCATTGCCAACTATCGATCGAAGAGTCTCTGGCAGAAACACGATGAGAAAGCAGAGGAAAGCGCCGCTATAAATGGTTAGGAACCAAAAGATTGCCTTCCATCCCAAGGACCCAGCAATTGCACCTCCGATTACAGGACCGACGGCAACGGGAACGAGCAGGCCAGCTTGGAAGATTCCCATGTAGCCACCGCGTTCGGCTCGAGTGGTGATGTCGCTGATAACGCCGGATCCAATTGCAATCGTGCTAGCGCTTCCAGTACTTTGAAGACATCGGAGAACAATAAGTGTCTCGTAGTTCTTCGTCTCTGCAAGTCCGATGCAGGCGCCTAGAAAGACAATGAACGTGCACATGTATGCTGTCCGGCGGCCTTTTACATCGGAAACTGGGCCCCAGAGGCTGGGTGCTAGACCCTGGAAGATGAGATAGGAGGTAACAGTTAGGTTGAGAAGTTCGATGGAGACATTGAGGTCATTTGCAATTGTCGGTAATGCTGGGAAATAAATGTTAGATGCAAAACCGGAGACTATTAAGACGTTAGTAGGCTACGAAGAAATAGGGATTTGGTATAACGTACATGTTGCTGCAGTTGATACGATAATGATGATCAACCACTTCTGACGCTTATCGAAGACACTGTAGGGCGGTTCGGGAGTCGCAACGCCAATCGAAGTGTCCGATGGAACCAGTGTCGCATTGTCATCTGAAGGCATCATGTTTGTTATTCGTGGTTCTGAGAAATGATTAATTGGCGATGGACTGGGATGTAACGCGACTGCTATAGAGAGCAGCCCTTCCTATATAGATGGTCACCGTGGCAATCCCGTGATCATCCCGCAGTGTTTTGGCGGAGTTCGGATCTGAGCGCCGGACTTCCGCCTATCAAGTCCGATCCATCAAATAGTACATTTTCGCTCTTTTATTCCAACGCATCCTATAAATAGTGCAATCTAGCAATCTAAATCAAAACCCATGCATTCATGCTCACTGCCACTTCAAATATCAGACCAACATGGATAGCTCTGTCAACGCCTCTATCAATCTTGGAAAAAACTATGCCGTTCTAAATCTAGACTGGATCACGGTGCTCATCGACGCCGTTAAAGACACCCCTGAAGGCCAGGCCTTGATCGAAAACTTGGCCAAATGGAATAATGCCGTTCATGCGAGCGCGTCTCGTCCTCTAACCGTTTTCTCTACACTCTCTTTCTATCCCGGCCAACCAGAAGTCCAATCCGGTACTCCTTTTGCCAACCTCATTGCCCCCTTCGGAGAGTTCAGACATGGTTCCCCCGAAACCCAAATCTACAAAGCCTTCAATGTGGACAGTCAAGATATTGTTCTCCCAAAGACAAGGTGGTCCGCAATGACGGGAAGTGTGCTGGAGCAGATCTTGCACGCACATGGAGTCAAGACGGTTATCATTGTATGTAAAGGGTACCCAACAAAGTAAGAATGTGCTGACACCGTGAACAGTCTGGGTTGACTCTTTCTGGCGTGGTGATGGCTACTATCTATCGGCTTTTTGACTTGGACTACAATGTCTATGTTATTAGGGAAAATGTCTTGGAGTTACCTGTTGAGCAGCATTCGGCATTCGCGAATGTTATGCTCGATATGTTGCTACCAAAGATGGGCATCAAAGTCATCTCGGTGGATGAGGCAATCAATGCTTTGAACCGATCTAAATGTCAGGATACACTATAACACTTGAAGGTGTTTCATGTATTTGTCTTTATTAAGCTATATTTCTCGAGAGCTCATGCCCTGCTCGTAATTGATTTGGTCGTTTAAAAACCGTTACATAAACCGAGGTCACTATGCATAAATGTGGAAACGAACTAAAACCCCAGAGAAGCACCACGCTATGCAAAATAAGAAGGAAAATAAGAGTTCATGTCTTTGAGCTCAAATGAGATCATGTGATGAGGAGCCTGTATCCGGAAGCCAAATTAGAGTCCGAGCTCGGACCCACTTCTCAGCTCCGACATCTCCGTCACTTCCGATCAACTTCTCCATTACAAACACCAAAGACAACGGCTCAAGGATAAGATGGATCGCGGTCAGCGACTCCACCATAAGTACTAGCTACAATAACGATGAAGCATTCATACCGATGATGAAACCCTCAAGATACTCCACCTCCAGGCAAAAGGCCTGTCAGCAGTGTGCTAGTGCGAAAGCTCGGTGTGACCGCAGATCTGGAGGCAGGGAACCATGCTCGAGATGCATGCATCGTGGCATCTCATGCTCGTATGTTCAAGATCATGCTTCCGAGCGGAATCCAACAAGCCCGGTAGCACCACCCAGTCCTTTCTCGGTGTCGGATTCCTCACTTAGAGGTTTGGGAAGTGGCGTTCTGGCCATGAGTAACTTGTCAACGTCAACACTACCATCATCTCTGGGCGCCGGAGTGCTTGTTAACACCCAGAACGAGTTATCTGCGCTGGAAGAAGTCCTAGACTTTTCCTCTCTTGACCTGGTGTGCCCTATCAATGCCGATGATATTCAGAATCGTTGGATCCAGGCATATATTCCGATGCCTGGACAAGCAGTCAAGAACTACCCTGATGGTGTTCGATCATATATATACTTGACCCTCAGGTCATACTCTGCGATGGCTGTTAGTGGCCGGGGGACCCTGCCCTTCATTCATCCCAAGCAGATGATCGCGCAGCCAGCCGGTTCACCTCTCACTACCTGCCTGAGCTTAGTACGAATATGCTCGAACCAGCTTCCTGGAAGCAGTCAGGCAGCGGTCAGTGTCCTACGTCGAGAAATACAAACTTTGGACCAGGATCGGACGAAATACACCAGTGATGGCCTTTTTGCAGCCTTCCAGTCTTACCTGATATATTCCATGGTCCTGTTCTTTATACTCGGACAATCATGCGATGACGACTTTCGAGCTATAATGACCAGCCTCCAAGAGATAGCCTGCGCTTCATCTCGACAGGGCTTGATATGTGCGGCTGATCAACGACGCGCGCGACCGAAGTGGGAAGAATGGATCATAACGGAGGCCAAGCGTCGAACACTCTACGTTATGTACTTGTTCGATAGTATCCTCTCGAGCCAGGAGGGCCTTCCTACTTTCCTTGGCACTGAGCTACGGGGTCTGCCTGCTCCGGCAAACAAACTGCTGTGGCAGGCAGCCACGCGGTATGAGTGGGAGAGGGAATATAACGTACATATGGCGGACTGGATGGAAGGATGTCTGACGATCGACGAATTATGGCCCACGCCTGATGATTTAGGGGAGGCTGGAGTTGCAAGGAGGCGTGCAAGAGTGGATCAGTGGATGCAGAACCTTGATGAATATGGCACAATGCTTTTCGCTATCATGAGATGTACTCACGGTGACTGATGGATACTACGCTGCTAAGGATCGAGATACACAGAGTTATTGTGCTCTATATATAAGGACTCACCATCGTACTCTTCATGATACTTGAATTTAATTATAAAGCATCACGTGACGATCAACACAGGGTAAGTTGACCTAACATCCAGCCTTCCACTCCCAGGTCTTGATAAGGTAGTCAGATGGAGTTTCATCTGCAACTCCTGTCAGAAAACACTTGTTGTG